CCTCTCTCTGCTCTCTCTCTCCCTCCCCCCCCCTCTCTCTCTCGCTCTCTCTCGCCCTCTCTCTCTCTCTCTCTCTCTCTCTCTCTCTCTCTCTCTCTCTCTCTCTCTCTCTCTCTCTCTCTCTTCGTTCTCTCTCACTCTCCCTCTCTCTCCCTCCCTACCCCTCCTCCCCCTCCCTCCCCCTGCTCCCCCTCTCTCGTCTTCCTCACCCCCCCTACACCCCCCCTCTGCACAGTGTCCCATCCGATGGTTTTCCGTGAAAGATGAATATTAAACACACCCGTTATCAACATTGCAGATTGCAGCTTGATCGGGCTTCGTCTAGGCCTGGATGGTCGTTCTCCTCGCGTCTTTCTCCTTCTCCCTCTTTCTCTCTCTTTTTCTCTTTATGTTTGTCCTTCTCCTTCTTTCTCTTAGGCTTTCTTTTTCCTTTTTTCTTTTCTCCATTCTCTTCTTTCTTTTTTTCTTTCTCTTCCTCTTTCCCTTCTTTCCTTTTCTCTATCTATTTCTCTTTCTCTCGTTTTCCTATTCCTATTGCTTCAGTCTTTACTTTATAACTTCTTTATTATCCTGTTCTTTTTCATCTCTTCTACTTCTTATTTCCTTCTTCTTCTTCTTCTTCTTCTTTTTCTTCTTCTTTTTCTTCTTCTCCTCCTCCTCCTCCTCCTTCTTCTTCTTCTTCTTCTCTCTCTTTCTACCCCCTTCTCTCTCTAATCCTCCCCCCCCCTCTCTCTCTTTATTTCCTTTATTTCTCTTTGTCTTGTATTTCTTCTCTTCTCCTTTGTTCGTTGTTTTACGTATTCTGGGAACCGTGTGCGTTATTTTCACATTTATAAGCATTCGTCATCTTGAAATATATGTATTGGTTTCTATTCCAAGTCCTTTCTTTTGATTTATATTTTGAAAATTCTCCTTTCGTGTTCACGGAACTCAGTGTACACACGCATGCACTCCTACATACATATACACACTCACTCAGAAAACACACACACACACACACACACACACACGTACAAACACACACACACACGTACAAACGCACACACACACGCACACACACATACAGAAAACATACATACACGCACAAACGCACACACACACACACACACACACACACAGAAAACATACATACACGTACAAACGCACACACACACACACACACACACACACACACACACACACACACACACACACACACACACACACACACACACACACACCACACATACACAGAAAACATACATACACGTACAAACGCGCGCACACACACACACACACACACACACACACATAGAAAACATACATACACGTACAAACACGTACAAACGCACACACACACACACACAGAAAATACACACACACAGAGAAAACACACACACACGCACAGAAACACACACACACATAGAAAACATACATACACGTACAAACACGTACAAACGCACACACACACACACACAGAAAATACACACACACAGAGAAAACACACACACACGCACAGAAACACACACACACATAGAAAACATACATACACGTACAAACACGTACAAACGCGCGCACACACACACGCAGAAAATACACACACACACACAGATACACACACACACACGTACAAACACACTCACACATCCTATAGCCCTTCTCTTTTTTTTCTCTCTCTCTCTTCTCCTTCTCTCTCTTCCTTCTCTCCTCCTTTCCCTTCCTTCCTTCCTTCCTCTTTTACCTCCTTCTCCCCTTTCGTACCTTCGTCCTTTCTTCCTTTTCCCTTTTCCCTTTTCTCTTTCCAAATTGTTCTTTTTACCTGTCCTTTCCTCTCTTTTTCTCCCCCTCCTTTCTCCTTTCTTTCTTTCCTTCCTTCTCTTCCTCTTCCTTCTTTCTCTCTCTCTTCCTTCACCATTTCCTTCACTTTTATAAATAGATAAATAAGGAATAAAAATATAAATAAATAATAGCTAGACCAATAGATAGATAGATCAATAAACAGACAACAAATATATAGATAAATAAACAGACAAATACATGTATAAATAAATAAATAGATAAAAATAAACAGGTAGATAGAGAAATACAGGAATAAACAAACAAACTAAGAGATGAAGTATCACACAAAATATCTCTCATTTTCACCACTAACATTCACAATCATCACATCACTTCATCATCGCATCTCATCACAATCATCACATCACATTCAACATCACATCTCATCACAATCATCACATCACATTCATCATCACATCACATTCATCATCACATCTCATCACAATCATCACATCACATTCATTATCACATCACATTCATCATCACATCTCATCACAATCATCATCACATCACAATCATCATTACATCTCCCTCTCACTCTTCCTTACCTTTTCACTATTAATTTCCCAGGTGAGCTCAGCAGGTGGTCGCGATCTGGCTGATACACAGGTGAGTCTTGCTGTTTCACCTATGTGGTACTCATGCTGGGTTCCGTGAATGGTTGGTTTCTCCTCAGGTAGCT